GATGTGTGTGTGTGTGGAGTGGGAGGAGGCAAGTGAACGAGTGGATGATGGCACCAGTACCACCTATTTACCATGTCTGATTTGATCCCTACCTCCTGATCTCACAGGTGAGGAATCGGAAGCCCATAGATATTAAATGTGTTACGGTGGCCATAGGACTCAGGGGTAGATCGGGGAGAAAGGCTGAGACTCCTGGTCTAGTGTTTTTTTTTTTCCTTTGGATCACACAGCCTTCCAACCCTCCCACTCACCATGGGGCTGTCACACTGACTTCATTTTCCCAGTCCCACCCTTGGCTTCTGCAAGACTTTGCATTAGGAAGTTGGCCACAGAACTAATTTGCACAATGGCTAAACTTGTTTCACATGTGATCAGGACTCTTGGGGGAAGGATTCTAGGAAAAGAAATTGCAGATTGATTCATAATTCCCGAGAGCTGGAAAATGCCATTAGGTAGGGGGATGGCAAGAGTTGACTGAGAGAGAGAGGGAGGAAGATTACTGTGGCAAGATATCATAAGGGAAGCAGCAGTAGATTGTCACTACTTTTACAGAATTGAAGATGCACAAATTGAAGTTGGAGATTGTGGCTGCACAAAATACAGAGTGGGAAAGAGAGAGCCTAATGTTTATTGAACAGTGCTGGGAGAGGTAACGTGGGTTTTGGAAGGCATATGGACAATGGGGTCACCCAAAGCCTGACTCTGCTGAAACAAAGTAGGCCCACAATAAATGTTAGCCAAAAAAGCCAGCTGTGCTTTCAGCGTTTCATCCTCCCAACTCCACCTTGAGAGTGGATATGATTAGCCCGATCTTTACTAAAATAGGAAGTGACTGCGGTCTCAGAATGGCTAACAAACTCATCCAGGTATGCAAGTGGCTGATCACATTACAGATTCCAAATCCCATTCTCTTTTCCCTGGTAGCAAGAATGTCTCCTGAGCGTACCTCCTATTTAAGAGAACGAAAAGAGTTTTGTCTTTCTGCTTATTACCTTGCTCTTGGGTGGAAAACAACCAGCTTCTAGTCAATGGCACAGGAATCTAACTTTATTCTGAATTCCTAGAGTAGAAATTAGCTCTGTTTGTTGTTCTTGAGTTGTATGCATGTTTTATTGAGGAATTAACTTCATAACTAAAGAGTATGATTGGAACTTTTATAATTGCACCTGTTACTTCTATTATTGAACTTCTCTCCCTCCCCTGTTTTATTGCTAAAAGAATCAGTGATAAATTATTTGTTTGGAGAAATGTGCAGCCTGCTGAGTCCAGACTGCCCTCATATGCTTTTGGTATCTTGAGACATAAAATGTTGTTATTTGAATCTGTTTAAAGGAACTTCCAGCACATGCCCAGGCAGGGCCTCAGGGTGGGCGGAGCTCAGGTCGACTGCTGGCTCCCGCAGGCTAATCACAGGGCAACGTGGTTCCCATCTTACTACCAGCTTCAGAAATTAAACCTACACTTCTGGGGCCTGGTAGAAAACCACTGACTCTTCTGCCAAGCAGGAGCTGTGCCCTCAGGGACCATCTGCAGAGATAGTATGGCCAATTATGGGCATTCAAAGCAAGCCAACTGGTTTAAGCCATCTTTCCCTGCCAGTGTCGGCTGCTGGCAACAAACTCAGAATCTGGAGGATGCTGGGAGAAGATCATCCCTGAGGCCTCTCTTCACTCTCACAACTGCACTATCTCTAATTTAATGTAGTCTGAGAGTCTCACAACCACACCATGAGCCATGGAGCATCCATCAATCTCATTGAACACATGAGGAGACCAGGACCCAGTCTCCTTGATCCTTACAATGAAATGGAAACCCAGCTTTTACATTTCTTTAGAAATAATTATTTAAATGAAAAAAATTACATTATGCTGCTTCTTTCCGAAGAGAGATCATTATAACACAAGTGAAAAAAAAAGAAATTTTTAATATTTCTCTGCTTCCTTTTTAGGAGGGGAAGACAGCAAAATTATGACAACCAAAAAAACTTAACTAAATGATGTTTCAACAGCTCCTACTGTCTTGCTTAAAAGACTTTGCAAGTGTTACATATTTTTGCTTTTAAAACACTGAATCTAAAAGTCTTTGCTATTATGATTTTTAAAATTCTTATATACATATTTATTGGGAAATAAGCTCACAGTAAAGAGCTTAGAAATTGCTATGAAAGTAGAAAACAAATGCCATCCTAAAGTAAAAATTCAGAAATAACTATTTACTTTCCTACACTTCTTCAGGTTTTTCTTTTCTATGCCTACCTATTTTTTTTTAAACAAAATTAAGATTTTGCTGCATACAGTTTGGAGTCCTATATTTTTTTCTACTGGAGATTATATCATCCTATTTTTGTAATATTAAGATTCAAATATATTATTATTTTTTGAACTGCAAACAAAAATTGTATTATATATAGTATATAACATGTTTTAGATAGATAGATATTATTGAATAATTAAATCAAATTAACATTTCTATCACCTCACACACTTATTATTTTTGTGTGGTGAAAACTCTTGAAATCTACTCTCTGAGCAACTCTCAGTTATACAATGCATTATTATTAATAATAGTCACTATGCTGTATCAAATATATTATTTTTAATGGCGGTTTAATATTTTACCATTCCTTTCTTGAAACATTTTCTTCTTGGCTGCTGGGACATTTCTGTCTTGGTTCTCCTCCTTAGAATCTTCTAAGTCTTTTTTGCAGAATCTCTTCATCTCTCCCCAGCCTCTAATAGCAGGAGGTGCCTCAGAACTCAATCCTAAGGCCTCAGACCTCTCCTCTTCCTTCTCTATCTGTATTCACTTGCCAGGAGTGCCCATCAAGCACCATGGCCCCAAATACCATCCACCCATCCCCATCAACTCCTAGATTCTATCTCCAGCCTCACCTTCCCCCCGAATACTGCCTATTTGACATCTGCACTGAGATGATCAATGACATACTAAACTTACTATGTCTTAAGCTAAACTTCTAATGAACCTGCACTCCAGGTTCCCCTTCTCAGCAAATGGCAACTTCATCCTTGACCTCAAACCTTCAGGCCTCAAACCTCATCTGAGGTCTTCTCTGACTCTTTTCTCCTACATCACACACTCAGTCCTTCACAAAACCTGCCAGTCTTGCCCTTTGAGTCGTTCCAGAATCAGATGTGATTCCCATCTCACCTCACCTTCCCTGTAGCCGCACTGGCCCAAGCTATCTTCATCTCTTGGTTGGATAATTTCAGGAGCCCCCTGATGGGTCTTCGCCTGGATTCCATCCTGGTCCCATGACAGTTTATACTCAACCCAGTAACCAAATAATGTTATGGATCTGCTCAAACCCTCAAAGGCATTGCAATGTCACTGCCAGTAAGTGCCTCTATCTCCCATTGCTGCCTCTATCCCACACCCCTCTGGCCCTTATCCACTCTGCTCCGGCCACATCGGTGTCCAGCTTCCTCTCCCTTTGGAACTTTACTTTGCTGTGTCCTGACCTGATATGTTCTGTCCCCAAATGCCTGCCTATCTTGTTCCCTCCTTGCTTCAGGTTCCTGTTCAAATACCATCTTACCTGTGAAACTCTCTACATAGTCTTTATAAAGAGCAGTCTCTCTACCCAATATTCCTTTCCCTGCAATCTTACCTATTTTAATTTTTCTGCATCTTGCTTTTTCTGTGTGGCATATGTATTCATTTCCTAGGGCTGCCATAACCATGTACGACAAAGTGGGTGGCCTCAAACAACAGAAATTTATTCTCACCCTGTTCTGGAGGTCAGAAGTCCAGAATGAAAATGTCAGCAGTGTTGGTTCCTTCTGAGGGTTCAGAGGGAGAATGTGTTCCACATCTCTCTCCTAGCTTCTTGTAAATGGCTCACAAACCTTGGCATTCCATAGCTTGTGGATGTATCACTCCAGTGTCTGCCTCCATCTTCACATGGCCATGTTCCATCTGTGTCTCTCTTTTAGAAGAATACCAGCCATACTGAAGTAAGAGCTATTCTACTCTAGCATGACCAATTTAATCAATAACTAGTTACATCCACATTAATCTTATTTCCAAATAAGTTAACTTTCTGAGATCCTGGGGGTTGGACTTCAACACATCATTTTTGAAGGATCCATTCAACCCGTAACAGCATACAAAGTATTTACTGGTTGATTTTTTTAGTACCTGTCTTTACCTACAAAAACATAAGCTATTTCTGTTCACTGATGTATCCTCCATGACTAGAATACTTGGTACAGAGTAAGCATTCAATAAATACTTTTTAAATGAATGAATAACTATGGAAATCCCATTTTCTAATCTTTTCTAAACACCTTGCTAATGTAAATACTGGTATAGTGAAAGTTTTTATGCGTAATTATTCACCGGCATCTTCCCTATCATCCCTGCATGAATAGGGAAATCCTATTCATTCAGATGTTGCTCAAATGGAATTTGTGGTCACTTGAAGGAAAGGGTGACCTGGTTCATGTTTGCTAACTGTTTGTTAAGCAGATTAAGAGTGGAGTCAGTTTTAGCGGGCAGTAACTCAAATCCTAAAGATTATGTGTGGTTATATAACCTTTTTTCCTATTTAAGAATTGGTTTGCCTTTTTCCCGAGTTTTTGCATAACTTCATAGTTATATTTAATGGCCAGTATAAGAAAGTCTTATTTCATGATTTGTTATGATTGGGCATTTAGTTTGTTTCTGATTTGGGAGTATTATAAATAATGTTGTAATGTCTATTTTCAAATATGTATTTTTTTCCCCTCACATCAGTATTTTCTCTTTAGTGTAAACTCTTAGGAATCAAAGACTCTCAAAATGTCCAAGCGATTAAATATCTTTATGGTGTTTGATACATATACTTCCCTCATTTGAATCACATGGGCCAAAGGGTATATCCATACATTTTTTTAAAAGACATTTTACTTACACCTTCATCTTTTAAGAAAAATGGCCCCCCAACTCTTTTTGCCAGTATTGTTATAATCATTAATTGGTTCATGTTCATTCTTTCTTAGGGAATGGAGCTTCCTGTTAACTGGGTACCACCTGCAGGACCTGGGCCAGGCTCAAAGCTGAAGGCAACTCTGTGTGGGCTGGCTATAAGGGAGTCAATCACCCTTGGGAGGTTGGCAGAGACTGTGCCCATTAAATCCCTCTATATCGTGCAGTGCTAAATGGCCCAGTCAAATCCTCTATTTAGAAGAATATATATCAGATGATTAAAGAGAAAGCTGAAGACTCAGCTTTAGGCTGTTGTTTTTCTGGAGCAATAGTGAGCAAATATCACTGGTCATTTATGATGCTGGCTGCACATTTTAATGGGTAAACCAATGTCCTTGAATACCTATGCTGCTGATGAATAATGCCTCCTTTTGCTGGCCTTTCCCATGGTTCTTTGAAATAAACTTTTATGTTGGTTAACGATTTGTGCATATTACTTCCTTTTAACCCTGAAGGAATGACTAGTAGAGCCAGTACAATAGTGCTTTACAGAAGGGAGTACCCCTTGATAATCCTGCCGGTGGTAATGCCTATAAGCAGCTGGGTCCCAAATTCACCAATTCTGAGAGTTGTCACTAAAACCTTTTTTTTTTTTTTTTTTTTTTGGTGGGGGGGGTCAGGTTCAACATGATGTTGATTTTTTTGGTTATTAGTTAGAAGAATTGAGTACTTAAATGGTCCTTGCTTATTTTAAACCAAGTTCACTAACAGAGAAACTGGCCTCTGGAAAATTGGCCTTTGAGTGCTAAGTAATGTTTTTCATTCACTGGGGGAATTCATCTCATGTTGACTTCAAATTATTCAACAATGAAATCATAGATTTACTGTAGACACAATAGTCCTCAAGCTTATAGAATTTGGGAGCTCCTATTCTCTACTTGAGCCTATCATTTTGTTTCTGTCATTCGCATATGTACAAGTCATGGCTAACTTGATTGCTTTGGTGTTTTCCCAGGTAATACTGACTCCAATCCAGAAGATAGTCATCAGTTAAGTAAATAAAACAGGAACAGAACATTGGTACTTACAGTAGGCATTATTTTAAGATAAACCTCAATGAGTCATACCCTTGTATAATCTCCTCCCCTTGAGTGTTGTTGGAGCTAATGAATTGCATTTAGTCAACAGAATACGGCAAAGATGGTGGGATCGTCACCCCGGTGGTTTTGTTATTGCTATGTAAACTGCCATTATAACAGACTGGAAGGATTGATTCTCTTTTTGACCTTGAAGTAGTGAGGTACCACATGGCAAGAAACTGTGGGCAGCCTCCTGAGTCTGAGAGTGGCCCCTGGCTGAAAGCCAGCAAGAAAAGAGGAACCTCAGTCCTCCAGCTTCAAGGAAGTGAACTCTTTGAAATCCCAAACTCCAGACTCCAGAAAAGAATGCAGCTGTGTCAACACCTAGATTGCAGCCTTGTGAGACCCTGAGCAGGGTACCCAGTTAGGCTGTGCCTCAACTCCTCACCTATAGAAACTGAGATGATAAATGGGTGTTGTTTTAAAAACAACACTAAAAACACTAAACTGGTGATGTGTTATGAAATGACAGATATTTAATACAGTTTCTGTATTCAGGGTGGAGTGTAAGGGAGTGTGTTTAAATCTCAGCTTTACTCCTTATTAGTTGTACAACCGTGGCAAATTACTTAACCCTTCTGAATCTGTTACCTTTATGGTAAAATAGGAATAAAAATTATACCTATTTTAGGATGATGAAGAGGGAATGAAATGGTACACGTGAGTCACTTAACGTGGTACCTGACACATAGTAACTTCTCAATACATGTTTTTCATTGTCATCAGAGGTTGGACATTTGAAATTCCGTAATTCTAAATGTTTTCATTATTTTTTCCAGGTAGCTCATGTTTTGAAGATTTTCATTTATCATATTACCTGAATTATTTATTAAGTAATCATTGTCATTTCCCCATCTTTTTTCTTTTCTTTTCTTTTCTTTTTTTTGAGATGGTATCTCGCTTTGTCACCCAGGCTGGAGTGCAGTGGTGCAATCTTGGCTCCTGAGTATCTGACAATGCAGGTACATGACACCATGCCCAGATAAATTTTTTGTGTTTTTTAGTAGAGACAGGGTTTCACCATGTTGCCCAGGCTGGTCTTGAACTCTTGACCTCAAGTGATCTGCCTGCCTTGGCCTCCCAAAGTGCTGTGATTACAGGCGTGAGCCACTACACCCAGCCCTCCCATCTATTTCTAATTCATGACCTAGCTTCTGATTAGCTTGGGGTATTCTTAATAGATTAACTGTAATTCATGTAGTTCGGCTAAAAGCGGACATTTAGTGTTATAGTTAGTAGAATTTCCCTTAACTTTTGAAGCATAAGGAATGAATTGTTGAACTTTGCCAGACTACCATTTGGAACCACAATATTAGCTCACTGATGGTAAACAGGCATTGGGTGACTTTCTGCAGCTAAGCAAAGCAATCATGATTTGCCTTTATATGCCAGCATATTTGCACAGGTATTGCTGGATGGGTGAGAATGGCTGAAAAGAAAATTGTTAGTTCAACTGAAGGAAGGAAGTGCCCAGAAAGAAAAAGAAGATAAAATATTAACATTTAGGTACTTAATGGCTAGGAATTAACTTATGAATCACAAAAGTTTTAGGAATTGTTGTGTAATATCAGTATTTAAATTATGGCAAAATGAATAAATATGCTTCATTTATATTGTGTTTATATTAAAATGCTCTTACATTTTGTGTATAATAAAATAAGAGCATTTTAATCTAAAATTATAATGTTCGAAGTATGATTGCTATTCTTTCATTAGTGCTTTATTTCCTCTTTGTATATTATCTAAAATACTGCATTTTGTTATATTATTAATATCAAGGCCTAATGTATTCAGTTTCTAGATGAACACTTTTCAAGTTGATTACAGACTTGATAGGGAATTACATTTATTTAATAGAAGTTTCTTTTGTACAATCTTAGCTAAAATTCTGAGAAACAAGACAAAGCTATAAGGAACCAGTTCATCTGCTGTAAAAGTACATTGAAACATTTTAAAGTGCAAAAAAACAAAATACCGTTTAAGAAGTATGTCTGAAAAGTTAATGTTAAATAAATTAGATTTTCCAGGTTATACTCTGTATATGCCCTAAAAAAGTTCCACAATACAACACACAGAAAACATACACATACTCACATAACAGATACATAATACATAAAACACCCACAGTGCACACATGCAAAACACAAATGGCAACCCCTATAAGCATATTAAGGTCTCTGAGAAGTCCTACAATAGAGACCTACTGAACTTTGTTTAATCATGTGCTTCTCCAATCGATCTCAGAATCCTTCCTCCACCATCACAGGTAACCCTGATTCCTGATGACTTTGTGTTCCTTGGAACATACTTTATGAATGACGGCTCTATGAGATTTTTCCAAGGAAAACCATTACATAGGATAAGTATAAGATGCCCTCAACATTTATAGGTGAAAAACAGATACTACCATTAAAATAACTCATATATCAGAAACAAAACAACACTTCCAAATTATGTAAAGAACATTGAGGATTCTTGCAGGGACTGAAAATCTTTATTTCCTTCTGGAGTCCAGGTTCTTTCTTTTGGTGTTATGTACAGATAAAGCCGGGTCTATCTGCAGGTAATCACAGTGCTGCTGTTCTCTGTTCACGTTGGTAGAGAGATGTGGTTGGGAAGTAAAAGGTGGTCATCTTCCTGCAAAATGAGTCATTAACCCAAGGGTGAAAGCTGTGTCTCCCCTACAAGTTCTATCAGCATCCTTTGACTTGACAGCACAATTGGGAGCCTTATCCTTTCTGCATTCCTGACACAGAGAACCAAAGGCCACTCCTCAACTTGCACCCCTCTCTCTGTATATTCCATAAAGAATTAAAAAGGAATATATTTCCACACTTTAAGACTGTACGGTGGGGCATTTGGAGGGTGCTTACTCTGACAATTTAAAGGATTTTATCTTCATAAGGAAACTGACATTTGCTGTCAGGATGCCAGACCACCATTCTATAGAAGCTTTTCTCTTTATTTATGATCGATATGGTTTGGCTCTGTGTCTCCACCCAAATCTCATGTTGGATTGTAATCCCCATATGTCAGGGGATGCTCGTGGTGGGAGGTAATTGGATCATGGGGGTGGATTTCCTCTTTGCTGTTTTTGTGATAGTGAGTGAGTTCTCATGACACCTGATGGTTTAAAAGTGTGTGACACTTCCCCCTTCGCTCTCTCTGTCTCTCCTGCTCTGTCATGGTAAGATGTGCTTGCTTCCCCTTCGTCTTCCACCATGATTGTAAGTTTCCTGAGGCCTCCCAACTATGCTTCCTGTCCAGCATGTGGAACTGTGAGTCAATTAAACCTCTTTTCTGCATAAATTTCCCAGTCTCAGGTAGTTCTGTATAGCAATGTGAGAACGGACTAATACAGAAAATTTGTATCAGGAGGAGAATTGCATGAATCCAGGAGGCAGAGGTTGCAGTGAGCTGAGATCGCGCCATTGCACTCCAGCCTGAGCAACAGGAGTGAAACTCCATCTCAGAAAAAAAAAAAAAAAAAAAAAAAAGAAAGAAAGAAAGAAAAGAAAGCCCCATTTTCTGGCAAGAAATTCAAGCTTGCTGCAAAAATGTGCATAAGTAATGAGGAGCTGAATGTTAATAGCCAAGGCAATGGGGAAAATATCTCCAGGGGATTTCAGAGACCTTCAAGGCAGCCCTTCCCATTGCAGGCCTGAAAGCCTAGGAGGGAAAAATGGTTTAATGGACCAGGCCCAGGACCCTCCTGCTCTATGCAGCCTTGGGACATGGCACCCTGTTTCCCTGCTGCTCCAGCTCCAGCCGTGGCTAAAAGGGGCCAAGGTACAACTCAGGCTGTTGCTTCAGAGAGTGCAAGCCCCAAGTTTTGGCAGCTTCCACATGGTATTGGGCCTGCAGGTGTGCAGAAGGCAAGAGTTTGGGAGCATCTACCTAAATTTCAGAGGATGTATGAAAACACCATGCAGAAGTCTGCTGCAGGGAAAGAGCCCTCATGGAGAACCTCTACTAGGGCAGTGTGGAGGAGAAATGTGGGGTTGGAGCCCCACACAGAATCCCCACTAGGGCACTCCTTAGTGGTGCTGTGAGAAGAAGGCCACCATCCTCCAGACCCCAAAATGGTAGATCCACTGACAGCTTGCACTATGCACCTGGAAAAGCTGCAGGCACTCAATGCCAGGCCATAAAAGCAGCCGCAGGGGTTATACCCCAGAGCCACAGAAGTGGAGCTTCCCAAGGCCTTGGGAGCTCACTCCTTGCATCAGCATCCCCTGGATGTGAGACATGGAGTCAAAGGAGATTATTTTGGACTGTTAAGATTTAGTGACTACTCTGCTGGGTTTCAGACTTGCTTGGGGCTTGTAGCCCCTTTGTTTT